AGGGCTGGCTCTGAGTCCAGGATCCCTGCTTCCACATGGGAAGGTGTCCCCTAGCTCATGAATTTTTTGAGGCCAGGAGGTAGGGCTCTGCCTGCTCAAGGCCAAGGATGGCTCTCAGGGACCCACTTTACACACCTCTCTTACAACTCTCATTAGTCATAGCTGGCCAGCTTCCAGACCTCAGCCCCAGGCTCTCCAGAGTGGGTCAGAGGGGACAGGGTCAGAGTCAAGATGGCGGGCATGGCAGGCGAGGTCGTGTGCCCTGTGCCCACAGGAAGACACAGACAGAAGACAGGAAAGCAGCGGGCTTGCCCCAATCGATCTGCACTACGAGGGCACAGTGACCTCATCTCCACAGCCAGGAGCTCAGCTGTCAGCCCTGTGTTCCTTCTCACAGCCTGAGTCAGTGGGCAGAGCCACACAGCCTTGTGCTGCCTTATCAGTCTCGCTTTCCAGCAAAAGATGAGAATTCCTCTTAAGCATCTGGCTCTGGGCAACCTGCTTTTAATTTTCACATTTTGAAGATGAAGATGAGATCCCATTTCTCACCCCTCCAATTGACAAGGGCTAAAAAACCTTACCCAGTATTGGCCAGAGGGCCATGAAAAGGGCAGGTCCCTTTACAGCTGGTAGAAGTGCAATGAGCACTATTTTTTGAAAGGCAATTGCTTTAAAAATTCCGCTCTTCTTTGACCCTGTAATCCCTCTCCTGCAAGGATTTGTACCTAGTTTTTGGTACAAAGTTGGTCTTCACAGAGTTGTTTACAACCGCCCACAAGTGAAAGCCACATAAATATTCATCAACATGGGGCTGATTAAATCAAAGATTGGCTATCAGTCAACCATTAAAAATCAGGCTGGGAAGAATATTCACTCACAGAGAAAATGCTCATGATAGATTAAGAGGGAAAGCAAATCAGATCCAGAATGATTTGCATTGACATGAACGGGTTTGGTCAGTTTTTTTCCGCACTGGGGCTTGTTCTCTTGAAATGCTCCCTCTTGGCCCCAGCCGCCATGTTGGAGGGAAGTCTAGGTTGGCCTGCTGGAGCCCGAGGGGGATGCGAGTGGTCCCAGCCAAGTAGCCCACTGAATGCAACTACATGAATAACCTCAGATGCATCGTGCGGAGCAGATGTGCCCAATCCACAAAGTCACAAGAAACAGTAGATCATTACTGTTTAAAGCCACAAAGTTTTGAAGGGGTTATTCTATAGCACTAGACACCCTGTTTTTCATTTCCTAGATTTTCAGAGTGCACAGAGATCATTAAAGCAGAAGCACCTGTGTCTGAGCACCCAATCCCGTTGTGTGCACTTTGAAGGCAGAGCCTTGGGTGACCCCCACTATTGAACCTCTACCACTGGCCCCTGTGCAGCTTCCACAAGCATCATCACATACGACGTGCTTAATAAATATTGAATAACTGAATAAATGTCTTAGTTAACACACACTGCAGTCCTGTGTGGTAAGAGTGATTATTTTATTATTACTCAACTAATATTCATTCATTAGAGAAAAATCAGAAAAATGCAGCTATTACAAAAGAAGAAAATAAAAGTTACCCCTAATTCTACTACCCATCATTTCATTGAACATTTAGCATGTATATATGGAAAGTCAATTATATTCCATATGTATATTTACTTTTTTAAATGTGATAAACATACTGTTCTATAACCCTTTTTGTTTCTATTTTAAAATATCTGGACCTTCCATGTCAATGAACGTAACTCTCCATTCAATAACCTTTTTAACAGATGCACATGTTTGCCTATGTGACCAGGAGTCACACACCCTTCCTCCACCCCACGCTCACACAGAGGTGAGGACTGCCAGCCTTGTTTATTTTCTATGACCCATCACCAGATCACAGCCAATAGAACCCAGGACAGACATCTCACCCAAACTTAGCCTATCTGCTTCTCTCGTCTAGAAACTTAGAATCAAGACCAGAAGACAGTCAAGTTAGCCCTGAGGGTTGTTGAAATGGTCCCAGGTAAATTCTGGCATTGTATGGTGGTCATATTCTGCCATGGGGCACAGAACATAACTGTCTGGGAAGAGAAAGAGAAATTAAGGAAGGATGAGGGATGCAGACCATCCTGGTGGCAGTCTACTCGCTGAGTCCAAGGCTCAGCATCTGACTGCACCCCTGCCATTGCTTGTGAGACCTCTGTATCCCTTAAAAAAGTCTCCTTTATTGGCCGAAGTTGGCTTAAGTGTATTGATACTTGCCATCAAAAAATCCTAGCAATCATTACCCTGAGGAAATATGAAAGATGGCCTTCTCAGCCACAAGGCCAGGGCTCTGGGAACCAATAAAAAGAAAACCCAAGATAGAATATTGCCCTGCACCGTCCATGAGCCACTTTACGATTCTGGGTGCACAGGCTGGAATGCAAGCTGCTTGAGGGGAGGGCTCTGTGGCCAAGCAGTCAAGGCCCGCTCCTCAACACCATGACCTCCACCTTCCAGCCTCAGCCACAAACATCCGTTGGGTGCCCACCATATTCAGGGCACTGTGCTCAGGGCATAGATGCTCATGGCTGTAAAAGGTTCCATGTGTGACTTGAGGCAAGTCATATCTACCTCTCTAGGCCTCAGTCTTCTCATCTGCTAATGGTTTGAAGAATAAAATTCTAAGGTCTCACACCTACAAATCTAAGCCAGGGTCCCAGTCCTAGCACTCAGGAAGAAGGTATTTGTAACAAGCTCTGGAAGTGGCAGTGGACTTTCCAAACACCTTCCTCCCCGCTGTCTCCTGTGATCCTCCCAACAGTCCCACAGGACTGGACTCGTTAGGCCAATGTTAGGGGTATGGAAATGGGAGAGGCAGAGAGGTGAAGCAACCTGCCTGAGGATACACATCTGCTGAATAAAAACTTAAATCCAAGTCGAGCCACCGGCCCACTGCGAGAAGGATCGAATAACCCTTGACTTTCATTATCACGTTTTTAAAGATGAGGGACATTTATACGAGGTACTTAGAGTCAGATTTGTAGAGAAAGAAAGTAGAACGGTGGCAGGGGCTGGGGAGAAGGGGGAGTGGGGAGTTAAAGTTCCAGGGATGGATAGTGGTGACGGTTGCACAACAGTGTGAATATACTAAATGCCACTTTAAAATGATTAAAATGGTACATTTCATGTTGTGTATATCTTACAACAATTGTTTTAGTGAGGAAACTGAGGTCAGAGAGGATAAAGGGAGTGAGAATAGACCAGGTTATGAGAGCCTTGGGGGCAGAAGAGGTTTAATTTCTCAGATTTGCCTCTTGCTTGCGTGCAGATTACTCTGAAACTGTGCCTCAGTTTCCTCCTTTATGAAGCGAGATAGCAAGAGTATGTCTAGGATTCGTTATGAGAGTTAAGGGGGTAATTCCACACTGGTCACTGAGCCCTGCACCTGCACATAGCAAACTGTCGACACACATAAAAAGTCTTCTCAATCCGGAGCTGAAAGGGCCTTGGAGATGCTGTAAAGGGCCTTGGAAATCATCTGTTGCAACCCCTTCATTATGAAACCAAAGAGATTGAGGCTTAGAAAGGGATGATGACTTGCCTGAAGTCACCCAGCAAATCTGTAACTGCCCAGAGTGGAGTCAAACCACTGCCCAGCGATGTCTGCCTCCAGCCAGCCCACAGTGCTTTCTTTCCCTTTCTTAAGAGCTAAACCGCCATGGATTTGGGGGTATTCATATCTAGCCTCAGTGAGGAAGGGAGGACTTCTCCAGGCTTTCAACCAGTGCTCGCTCTCACCTTCTAGAGTGTGAGTCAGCGCCAGTATAAGGGAGTGAGTCAACCAGCTCCTCTGTGACAAATGTTCATGCGACTCCAGGTGGCATCCAGGTGTGGGCTGGGCGGGGGGAGCGGGCATAGCCGGATGCCCACTGGGCCATAGCAGCTCACTCAGAAGGTGAGCTCTGTGCTTTCTTTTGGCTCCAAGTTGCTGTATGGTGGTACTTAGAGGTTAACAGGTCCAGCTCTCAGACCTTCGATTTACTACTTAATTTCCTCCTTTGGTGTGATCTCAAGCAAGTGGCTTTAACCTCTGTGTGCCTCAGTCTCCTCATCTGTGCAATGGGTATGTGAATAAATATGGTCTTGCCCTCAGCACAAAGTGTAGGAAGGACCCAAGGAATAACATATGGGAAGGTGTTTTGTACAAACAGGTGCATCAGCATAAATGGCCTTATTATGTCACTTCTCAGGAGAAATAAGGTTCTATGAACAAAATGGAGCCTACCCAGGCTATTTATTTGCTTTTCCCATCAGTCCTTGGACTTCTCAGGGTCTCTGAGAGCCTCTGGCCTCCTTGCTTTTCCCTCGCACCCTGGGGCACAAACTTCATGGAAGGCCTATCGTGGGCTAGGCCTTGAGATAGGCCACTGAACCTCTACAGAGCCCTGTGACGTCAAGGTTATTCTGAACCCCATTTTACAGAGAGAATACTGAGGCTCATAAAGAAGAAGCAATTCCTCAAAGATGGCACCACTGGCAGGGTGGAGCTGGGCCCGAAAGCCAGACTTGCAGACTGTCCCAGCTCTCATCCTCTCTGTGGGCCGGAGGAAGAAAGCTCCTGGGGGCTGCATCAGGTCCCCTCCTTTCAACTCCGGAGACCCCCCAGAAAGCAACATATGGAAATCGAAAGAGATAGATTCCTACCACCCCGAGTAAATCAGGGTTCGAGAAGTGAAACACTGGAAATGACAAAAAAATAGTTCCCATTTTTCAAATATTTGTTATATGCCAGTCACCTGACAGTCAACTTCTCACTTCTTGTTATCACCAAATCTTTGAGGGGAGTACTGATATTATTCCCATTTTACAGCTGGGGAAATTGAGACTCAGGAAGGCTGAGTAATAAGCCTAAAGACACACAGCAAACCTGTCCTCTACGCACCACATAGCACTGCCAGCCTTCTCATTTATTCACTCTTTGCTTCGTTCATTTATTAAACATGTAGAGTGTCTTCCCTGTGCAAAGTAACTGGCTGGACACAGATAAGGTAAGGATGCCTGAGCCCCTATCCCAAGGAGGTAATTATCTGGGGAAAGATACGGCTCAAATAACTGTCATCTCAGTGAGAAGAGCCAGGCCCCAGTGCACTGCTTGTGCTGGTGCTGGGTCAGGTGCCTGAGCAAGTCCTGCAGGTCAGTTTCTGTTTATTTTTTTAATTGAAGTATTAGAACTCACACCTACTATCCATAAGATCTTGGGCAAACTAATTCACAACCCTGAATCTCAGTTTTCTCATTTAGAAAATGGAGAGGAAAATATTTATCTCATTGAGTCCCTGTGGGGATTAAATTAACTGGAATACGATTGTATTCATTCACTCAGCAAATATGTACTGCATCCCAATGTGTGCCAGGTACCTTTTTTTGGTGCTGGGGCTGCTACATGAAGCAGACAACAGTCCTTTCCTTGAAACTACAGAAGAATTTTTTAAAGTAAAAAAAAATTTTTTTTAATTGAAGCATCATATGCATACAGAAAAGTGCAAACACTGAAATTGTCCAGCTCATGAGTTTTCACCAACTGAGCACACGCATGTAACCAGCACCCTGATCAGAAAACATCACCAGCAGGTCAGGACTAGGATGTGACAAGTGAGGAACTCACCTCCTGAGTAAAATGCAAGGGGATGCCGCACAGCTCAGGCATCAAGATAATTAATGCTTTTAATGCAATATTTTTTAAAAGTCAAAATTAATGCCAAAAAAATCCATGATGACAAAATACCAAAATTTGACATAGAGACAGGATTAGTAACAGGGCCACGTTGAGCCATATTAAAGCTCAGGGCAAAACGGAGATCTCAGTAATGTGGAGCCTGCCTCATCCTAGTACCAGCCCTGGTTATCAGCCCCCCTCGCCATCACTATCCTCTTTCTAAGGGTAACTATTATCCAGACTTCTAATTCCATAGATAAGTTTGCCTGTTTTGGAACTTTGTATATGTGAAATCACACTCCTTTTGCATGTGGCTTACTTCACTCAACATTATGTCTGTGGGATGTAGCCACATTGTTGCCAGCCACGTAAGGATATTTAAAAAAGGGAATGATGCGATGGCTGGGTGTTTGAGAGAGACCAGTGAGGTGGCAGGTGCAAGCGTGAATGGGGAGAACTAGTGCAAGGCCAGTGGGATGAAGCGGAGGGGATGGAGTCCAGGGATGTTTTGGAAGGACAAAGTCCACAGGATTGACTCAATATTGGGAAAGAAGGAGGGAGGGGAGTCAAAGAAGATGTCAGATCTCTGGCTTGGGCAATTTGGTGGCTAGAGGAGCCATCTCTGGAGTGGGGACCAGGAAGGGTGTGAGAGCAGGAGGAGTTTAAACATGGTGAGGACCAGGTATCTGTGCAACATTCAGAGGGCTGATCTGGAGGCAGCTGGACAGACAAGCCTGGCGCCCAGAAGAGAACGGGGGAAGTGTTCCTTCAATATTCCCCATCAGCAGCGGTGAGCAGGTGGTGGCCCTAATGAGACAGCGCGCAGAGGGCCGGAGAAGGGTAGGTGAAACAATAAAGAAAGGAAGCTGAAAAGTTCTCTGAGAGCAGGTGGTTGGAACAGGTGAGCAAGTCAGAAGGAAAATATTAAGCACACAGAACTGTCCCGCCTGGCCCGTCAGGCCTTCCAGGAGTCCACCGCTGTGTTTACCCGCAGCCTGGGAGACTGTGTGGGGCAGAACCTCCTATGGATCAGGGGCTCTCCCGTCCCAGCCCCAGCCCCGCCAGCACCACTTGAATCAGCTACAGCTGACTCAACAAAGCATTTTTTTTTCTTCTGGCTGCCAGGAACGCTTGCCTTTAAAGGCGAAAAAAACCAACCAACCAACCAAACAAACAAAAAAAACTCTTTCCCGGGTAGTCTTACTCACTGCAGACTCCGGGGCTGCTGCGACTGCCCCCGCACAGCGCACAGCGCCGCTGGAGACCAGGAGTGTGCATGCAGGCACGCACCAGACCGCCAGCATCCGCCTGGCCACCTGGCACCGCCCCGCCAGCTCCAGGGAGCTCTTTTCCTGACTGGCTAGGGCTAGAAGTGCTTGGAACCAAAAAGTCCGAGTTCCTTCCTGGGCTAAAGGTAGCATCCAGGGAACAAAGCTTCCAGTGTGAGCTCAGCTTGGGGAGGGGGGCATCCTTACACTCCACTTTAAAGCCCCAGGATAGGGTAGGCTTGAGGGGAGGCTGAGCTTTCCTCAGGTCCTTTCCTGCTCAAAAACCCTCCATGGCTCCCCACTGCCCACTGAATAAAGCCTTATACCTGGCGTTTGACCCCACCTCCTTAACTTCTCTCATTCGAATTCCCTCATCTTCCTCTCCTCTCGCTTCCAACCCCTTCCGCTCCAGCCCCAGGCGCTATTTAGCCTGGCTTTCTGGCTTAAACTGCACCTTCAGGACCCCCCTGGGGCATTTGCTCCTGTCTTCCCAGGCATTCCAACCTTTCAGGCTCTCTTCCTTGGCTTTCTCTGGTGTCCCCTCCCTGGCTGGAGTTAAATCCTGTTTCCCAGGACTCAGCCACCCAAAAACCAAACTATCCCACCTGAGAATCTAATATTTCATCAGTGTCAATAGCTTCTGTTGAATTTATCTCGATACAGTACCCTCTAGGGATCATTAAACTTTCACCGAGACAGAACATCTAGAATCGGAAATTTCAAGCAGATAATGGGAGTCTATTTGGACAAATATGGTGGGGTGGGGCGAAGGTAAAGCTGTTTTTCTGGCCACTCTGTTCTGTCTTCAAGTCCCACCCTGACCGTAGGAAGGGGCTTTGATTGAATTTCTGACATCATGCATTAGTACCGTTTATTTGGATAAACTTTTATACACATCCGTTTTTCCTCTGGTCAACCAAGGAAGGGGTTGTTACACCTATTTTACTGATGTGGGTCTCGAGGCTCAGAAAGAAGGGATTTACTCAGTGATATCTGGCATGTAAATAGCAGAGCTGGGACTCAGGAGTCTGAATTCAGGGCTCCCCATCTGTCTCTGAGTGTCTAGACTCTAGAGATTCTTTCTCCTCTTCAGCAATTACTCTGCCTGTCTACTGTCTTTGCACATGTTCTTCCCTCTGCCAAGAATGGCCTTCCCTCTGACCCACCTGGTGAACCTGTATTCAGCCTGCTATACCCTGCTCAGCAAGCCCTCTCCCTTCCTTAAAGCTCCCTTTACTCCCTCACCTTTCTCTGTGGTACGAGTTCTGCTCTCATATCCATTCTTATCCCCGTCCACCCAACTTGCTGTTGGTGCTGTGCATCACCCCTCTTGCATCCTCTCCAGTTTGAGAGCTCCAGGAGCCTGCCTCTGTCCCTGGGGGAAATGGCCAGCAAAGGGCCAGCTTAGAGAAGGAAAGTGTGATGATGAGTGTGACCCATGGGCTGAGTGGGGCATACCCAGAGCTGGGAAGAGGCATACACAGCAGACTGGATGTGCTAGGAGACAGGGAGCTATGGAGAGACTGAGCAGAGAAGTGACGAAACTGAACAGGGACTTAAGGAGACGCTGGTGTTGGCAGGAAACTGGCAGACTAGCAGCTCATCTGCTCACTCCTGCCTTCTTCCTTCACTCCTTCACCTGTGTGTCTCGGCTACAGAAGCCATCTTCAAGGTGATCAGTCTGCGAGGAGACGGACGGGAAGAGCAGCACACTAAGAAGCACCAAAGGGTGAAGGCGAGAACAGTTCCCTCCTGGAGGACTCAGGGACACTTCCTGGAGGGGGCCCTGTTCCAGGGGTGCTTCGTGTCACCAGAAGCATTTTGGCTTGGTGAGGTGGGGGTGGAGGGAGTTAGGCAGAGAAAACAATCTGAGCAAGGGTACAGATGTAGAAAGTGCTGGTGTGAGGGGTGAGGCTGAGCCTGTAAACTGGTGCCCCAGGGGCCTGGCTGGCCAGGCTGGACCCTGTTTCCTCTTGGATATACCAACAGGAGAGTGAGGGTCAGCACTAGAGGAGGTGAGACCAGATGTGCTGGAGGTGCTACAGACAGCAGGAAGGGAAGGAGGCTAGGGTGGTACAGAAGATGAAATCAACAGGACTAGGGGCCCCTGGCATCAGACGAGGAGAGGTGGCCCCAAGCTTTCTAGGTTGAGCAGCTGGGAGACCATTGAAATAGGAGCTTATGGGCAGAGGTGTGCCCAGAAGGGCTCCCCTTCCAGGGCTCCTTGCCCAACCAGGGTGGCCTCTTGGCCAGCACTGGACCCACAGCCCAGATGGAGGACTCCAGGGTGCATGTGGTCAGCTCAGGCTCCTCCTTCCCAACAGAAAGTAGCCTCTCCCAGGTACTCTCCATAGGGAAAGGGGCCCTCAGTCTAAAGTCTGGATTTTGTCCAGATCTTTGGACTAGGGGTCTTTCCCTTCACTGTGTCTCAAGTGAGACACAGGTCTAGAAGAGAAAACGAGATGAAATCAGATGAAATAAGGTGAAATAATACTACCACTAAAGGGGGACTTACCTCAAGTCAACATGTGCCAAGAACTTCACGAGCTTATCTGCACGTTGTAACTCTCATGATTACACATGAAGTTGGTGGTGGTTTTCATCCCGTTTTACCCAGAAGAAAACAGAATCTCTTGGGCCAGCATCTTGCCTAGGATCACACGAGGGCTGGTATACAATTGAGCTCGTTCAAACCCAAAGTCTCCTGTGTTACCATTCATATTTTTCACACTTACCTGTTATCATAGATTCACTTGTACTGTCAGGCGTAGAGGAAGGCTTCACAGAGGAGGTGATATTAAAGTCCAGAGAAGAGATGGGTATGGTTTTGCAGGCAAAGGGCCCAGCCTGTGCTAAAGCAAGGCCTGGCTTAGAAACAGGAATGTGGGGGTGGAGAGGGGAAGGGAGAAAATCCCGGAGCAAGACCTCCCGTAGTCTGTCTAACAAATACTTAAATACCACTTACCACATAAGTTCTGTTCTAAACACTTTACAAATATTAACTCAGTTAATCTTCATAACAAACCTATGAGGTGGTACTATCATTATCGCTAGATTACCGAAGTTATCTGGTGGCAGAGTGAGGACTCGAGTCCTCGCTCTTAAGCGGTACTCTATGCCGCTCCTAGTTTGTCTTACAGCTCGTATGAGCTCTACCATTTTGCCAGAGGCCGCTGAGGCTCAGAGAAGTGTGCACACTTGCGGAGGGTCACACAGCGAGCAAGCTACCGGGACCCAGAAAGCCGGGGAGACCCGCAGCCAGTGCCAGGTCCAGGTCCCAGCAGGACGCCATTCGGCTCCCCTTCCCCTGGCCCCATCCCGGCAGAGCTCCGCCCCGGACGTGCCCCAGACCCCGCCCACCCCACCCCCAGCCAGCCAATGGCTGGGGTCCTATAAACGCTATAGGATGTCTCAGTGCTCTCAGAGTAACCCAGCC